TTTCCCGAGTTCTCCCTTTAGGTGACATTTGCTTATCCCACAAAAAGGCTCAGGACCAAAAAGTGCAGATGCTGCACCTTTTTTTTGCAAGGCGATCAGCTGCCTCATTTCCTTTGATTCCTTCATGCCCTGGAACCCACATAAGTGTGACTGTTGCCCTTTCCCAGTTGCATGAGTGTTTCAAAGCAGTCCCATGTAATCTTTGATGTGAAAACGAATGATTTTAGGGCTTTTAGTGCGGCTTGGCTGTCTGAGCAGATATATATGTTGGCACCCCTCAGGCCTTTGCTCAGGCACCTTTGGGCGCAAAGGTTGATGGCATGTATTTCAGCTTGGAATTGGATAGCGATAAACAATACTATTTTCCAATACAGAATTATACAGTTACTTTATCAGAGACCGAAATAGGCGAGTGGACCAATTTTTTTTTATTTTTTAAATATTTTTTGAGAATTTTTCGGTGCTAAAATCAAAAACTGACGGCACGATTTCGTAAGTAGGGGCAGACCATAACACAGTTGCCATGTGTATTGTTTCTGAAGTTCCCAATCGTATTTCAATAATTAATAAATTCTCAATTCAGTATTGGTAATATTCCTAATTAGCAATAAAAATGTAATTGTCTCAAAATGTTCCCTTATGATTTGTGGCTTATTGCTTATAATGAATTTGTGTAAATAATAATTATATTAATTCACACTGGAGGACATTTGAATCAGTGAACGTGACAACCCCGCATTCGACTTGTGGGCGTGGTCTTGTCAGTTCTCGGCATTCAACACAATGTTGCCAAGTCTCCAACATCTACATGATATTTTGTTATGGAGAATAACTAATATTTGAACATGCTGGTTGCTCAAAGAAGTCAAGAATGAACTATATGTTTTATTCAACGACTGAACTCGAACATCTTTTTGATAAACTTGATTATAATTGGTGACTTGAGAACCTTGCTTCATGAGTGGAAATGGAAGATCATCTGATCAATAACGAAACAGCATAAAAACTGACGTCACCATTCATTCGACGTATCGCAAAACAGCGGCCATGATGTTACGTTTGAAATGAGCTCTGAAATTCAATGATTTTGAACAACGCATTGACTCATTATTTACACAAAAAAGCGTGAGAAGTATTGCAAAAATTAATTCAGGTTTCTAACGACAAAGTGGAGTATTTGAATGCTAATAATTCATTATCAGTCGACTCGCCCATTGTCAGTGTCTAGCTCAAATAAGTCTTTTTTGGCGAGCCAGGTCCATAACTTTGGTGGAATTATTTGAAATAAATTTTCGTTTGAATTAAAAATTGTCATTACATTTCCGCAAACTACAATAATTATGCATACCAACTCAATTTAAAATCATCACAAATAATCCATTCAATACTTAAAATATTCACCTCTCACAACCACTAGCTCTTGATGACGTGATAATATACCGATATGCGCTAATAGTCGCATATTTCCCGACCAATGAAGATATATCCACATTCCACATAGAAATGAGAATTCGCTTTCAGAGAAGGAGGGTACTGAGATACATACAATACATTTGAGTGTTTGAGTATTTATTTAAACTATTAACAGTCATATACAGTTTACATTTACAATTTTAGGCACAAGATGAGATGTGTGCACCAGTCATCATTCATCCACATTTATTAAAGAAAATTCACCAATGAGTGAATTTTCTAAGGAATCGTTTTACATACAAATATATACAATTCAAATATATATTATAAAATATATGTAATATATGTCAAACTAATAACTATATATTAGGTTTGCTTTTCAAAATCCAAGATTATATTTCATTTTTGATTTTATTGTAGTTTACCTTTAGTTCGTTTGGCAGTATTTTCGGCTCTATATAAAATATCTTTCGCTGATGAGTTGCATGAAATGTAGGAACATTCAATTTTGCATTAGTTACAGATCTAGTTGTTATAACATAATTAACTTTTGGTATATTCATTCTTTTTTTTTGTGAAATATATCTTACCACAGATTTTAAGTATAATTAAGATATAATAAATGTCAAGAACTCTTGCATCTTCAGAGAGTTTGTCAGTAGGAAATGATTTATTTCTAAAAATTATAATATTTAAAATACATTTTAGTGCTACATTTAATGGAGTCATGACATGAAATTGGCTAAGCTGAACCCAGGCTGTAATTCCATTCGATAACGCAGACTCTACCAAAGCCCTATAAATATTGATAATGCAGTTCCTTTGCAAAATTTGTCGAAGTTGATAGAATTTATAATATAACTTTCCAATTTTCAATACATATTCGATGTAAAAGTTCCACTTCATGTGTGGGTCAAAGTAAATTCTCAAATACTTGATTCTATTTTTCTATTTGATTTTTAAATTATGTTGGCAATGGTTAATTTCTTTGCAATTCCGCTCATGAAATATCAGCGATTTTTTTCAGGAAGGTCTAGAGTTCATTACTAAACATAAAGCGGTTTCAGCTTTATCATACACCAAATTCCAAGAGTCGTCTGCCTAGCAAATCACCTTTCCCTCAAATAAAAGTCTGGTTAAGCTATCTATATTTATGTATGATGAAAAGTATCGGCCCCAGCACAGTGCCCTGTGGCACACCACACTCTACTGAACAAGGATCACTGAGACATTCGCCAATTTTCACTTGTTGATGCTTGTTGTTCTCCAGTTTATTCAGTAGAATGTGGTGGGACACAGTATCAAAGGCTTCAAGCTTGAGTTGTATCGTATATAAGTGGCATCAAATTGATCGAGGTGTATGTCGTTTTTATATTATGAAATATCGTGAATTTCAATAATTATTTAAAAAATGTGCAGAGCTCTGAGAAAAAACGGTTTGCATTTTGGGTCAGTACTTCTAAATAATGAAGTGATTTTTTTACTGAAACCTGCCCATTAATCGGACATTACTGTTCTAAATCTAGACATGACACATTAAATTACCTGTTGAGGCTATAGTATTTGTAATGTTCTTTCATCAATTCCACAAGGTAGTGTTGGTTTGTTGGTGAAAGAACATAATATTTAGTACGGTATTAATTATTAATCTGAAACACCACTTTGTATAATCCAGACTTCCGTTTGAGAAGTGTATTTACTGTGTTTCAATAATACAATAATTATCAGGTATTGAACGGTTTGTTTACTAACAGTACGCAAATAATATGCGAACTAAGGTACAAACCTCCGAAAATACATTGTCATCAATGTTTATAAATTAGAACCTTGTTATAGGATTAACTATCTAGCGGGTGATGAAACCTGAGATATTTCCGCTATAAATATACTCCGGCCAGGGAATAACGCAATAAAGAAAGTAAAATTCTTCAGGAAATACTCCAAGACGTTATTTTTAGATAGAAGTAACTGCGATGAAGATACTTATCCACATAGAAATAGACTGTGGCCGTGAAATATTCTTGTTTCATTCTTCCTCATACTAACATGTCCGAAAGTTGGAATACAGTAGGAAGAAAAACAAAAAAAGCTATGACAGGCCAGCTTCATTTTTTAGCGATATTCTTCAAAAATGTAATTGATTTGTTCGAGAATTTCTCAATTGCCCGAAAGCCGTTTGTTTCATTTTCAATGGCCCACTCGGTATATTTTCAGTGTCTGTTTCTCTTGTCACACATTCTTTGAATGCAATCAACTTATTCAACAATGACCGAGTTAATGGCCAGTGTGAAATTTTAACTACACCTACACATACCTTCCTTATACATTATATAATATACTATACTTATTCTGCCTCTACCAATTATTATTGAATCGGTAACCTTTTTTATGTCATCATAATATTTTGGATGTTTCTGAAATGGGACGATAAATGAAGTGAGTAGTAGAAAACGAAAAAACAAAATGATAAAATATATTTTTGTCGAGAAAATATGTTTTGGAAGAAAATGGCCTTTGGACTTTGGCCTGAAACTTAGATATATCATTGATAAGAGTACTCGTCAGAGTATCAGTAACTTTTGCAATGTTTTAGGACGTTCAATAATGATCCGAAAAGTGTGCTATAGTGAGAGCGCCATTTTTTATTTTTCATTTCTCAAGGGTTTTTTGAGATTTATACCCCGTAAATTTAAAAATTTAGATTAAGAATTTATACTTACGCCGAGGGTTGAGTTGACATTTTTGAAAACCCAGAATGCTGGAGGTAGCAGAGGTAATAATTGCCTCAGAAACTCATATTCAACGTTAGGATCAAAAGTTGTTATATAAAACCTGCCTATATATATTTTTTTTTTCAAAAAGTAGGTATGAATAATTCGAAGCAAATAAGTAAGACACTATTGACAGTAGGTATCTAAGTAGAAAAGATCAATAGCCCAGCTCTGGATCTGCAAATCTTTCATAATAACAACATGAAATACAATTTTTCTCAAACTGATTTTCTTTTCTTTATTATGTCATGGACGCTTCCACCTTTCACCTTCTCGATTCAAATCTGAGATTCAAGAATGTCTAGAACATTGAACATACCATTCGGATCCTGTAAAAATCTGTTGTACCATATTTAAGTTCAAATTTCCATACAATATCTAGCTGGTTTATCTCATTCTACGCTAGTCCATTGAAATTAATATTGTTCAATTTTTTTATGCTGGGAAATACCAAATATGAAGACTGAAACAGAAATGCCCTTTATTGATATGATATTTGTTTGGAGGCGATTTAGAAATAAGTGGGCGGGAAAATCATAAGTCCATCACTGTTTATAATCAGTTCAAGTGGTTCAAGCTAAATATCCTTACCATCTCATTATTCCCATTGTAGTGTATCTCATCAAGAATAAGTTAATTCACTTAGTTGATACAATGCATGTTTTCATAATTCACTTCCCGAACAAGAAATGGTTGAAATTTCAGTAAGAGTTTACCTGAATTTAGTCCACTGGATATTTTAGAATTTGATAGGTCACGCCAAAACATCTGTTTGATTCATCAGTCCTTTGGTCTTATCTACTTTTCTTGTTACAGTGGACAAAGATTTCCGAGTGCGCAGCCTGAAAGACCGTCAAAATGAGGAACGACAAAGAAAACTGGAGGAAATCAAAGCACAAGCTCTCGCAGCACAAAGATTCAAGGAGCAAAAAGAACAAGAACGCCGAAGAAGACTAGAAGACACGAGGCAGAGAGACGACGTGAGGCGAATGCAAGTGGAAGAGCGGAAGAAGGCGATAAACGAGGCAGAAAGAGACAGGTTAGAGTTCATCATAAAGCGAAATCATGTGCGAGAGCAGCGGATGGAATCGAGGAAGAGGAACGAGCGAAGCAACGTTGTCTTCGCTTTCGGATCTTCGACACCCAGAATGCTGGAGCCTGCAGACATGGCAGTGTCGTTTTGGGGAGCTAGACGGGCTACTTCCATACAGAATATAGTATCTTCCACTAATTCGTCTTCTTCGTTGACGCGAAGACAGTCTGAAAGAGATTTGGATGTAGGAAATAAAAAACGGGCCACTTCAGCTACTGGATTAGAAAGAACTGCTGAAAGTAAGTACTTCAAACTCAAAATCAAACCAGAATCTCATGACCATGAGAAACTAGCAAGGGTAATAGAGTATTGACAGTGAAATTGTCTGCTATTTAAAGTAAAGTAAAATTTATTGATTTTCAAAGACCACTGTAAAAGTGATATTAAACAAGTCATAAGTTACATATAGTTGATTCACATTTAAAATCAACAGTTATAAATAAATATAGTGTATATCTTGTAAGAGAAAACATATATTATCTTAGACTTAAGGGATCTATCTAGGTAGCATAACATTCTTGGTATTATAAATCATTTTCGACAGCAGAAAAGTTTTGAGATGTTTTCTGAATTTGAAGTCAATAACTTCATTCTTGATTGCCTCTGGTAGCTTATTGTAAATCCTTACACCATTGGAGATAGGTCATCTGAGAGTTACATTCAAATTATTTCGAGGTGTTTTTAGATGATGGTTAAATCTCGTTGAATAACTGTGATCATTACTATGAGTGCTGATGCTTTCATGTTCAATACATCTTTCACCAAAGAATCCGTTGCCATCTTCGTTGATCTGGCTGTATTAAGACCTGCCTGTACATCATGGCAATGTCTCCTGATGGAACATATGAATGCCATCGAAAGGATATAGATCATTCTGTACAGTAGGTCCAATAAATTGTGTATCGTTAAAACACACCCGAATACGATTTCGCGCTTGCGTCAAAAACTACCCTCACCTTGATTGATTGATTGATTAATGGCAGAATGATCAGTCAGGGTTTGAAGCCCAAAACACTGCAGCCTTTGGGCCTATTGTATTCCTGATCATGCTGTTGACTCAGGTGAACAGGTTCGCTACCTTGATGAGGTTTAGCAGCCTCTTCACCAGATCATTCTTTGAAAATGCCTCTTGAGAGTTTACTGCTCCCAGAAGGTTGTATCTCCAACGCGCTAGTGCTTCGCACTCCAGTATTACATGGGTGGCAGTTTCCTCCTCCTCATTGCATAGTCTGCATATGGGTTCGTCTGTATAGATGCCCATTTGATGCATATGTTTCCTCAAGGGGCAGTGACCGGTTATTAGTCCCGTCACTTGTTTGATCTGACTTCTGTTTAGGCTCAGAATGTCGTTAGTCACTGTTTTGGACAGTGTTCCAACCATCAGTTTACTGTGTCTTTGTCCTGGGACATTGTTCCAGTATGCCTGATGTCTTTCTTGCATCCACCTTGCCAGCCAGCCGCGTATTGAGGTTTTGGGGATACCGAACACAGGTTCCGGCCCCATAAACAACGTCGCAGACCCCTGCCGGGCAAGAGCGTCAGCTGCTTCATTGCCTTCAATTCCCTTATGCCCTGGCACCCATTGAAGAGTTACCTTGTTGTGGTTAGCCAGGGTTAGCAGGCTTTGAAGGCAATCCCAGACCAATTTTGATCTGATTTTATTGCATGTTAGAGATTGAATGGCCGCCTGACTATCTGAGCATATGAGGATTTGTTTACCTCTGTATCCTCTTACTATATTCTCTCTCAGGCATGCCTCAATAGCATGCACCTCTGCCTGGAATACTGAAGCATACCTCCCCAAGGAAGCACACATCCTGGTTCTGGGTCTATCTCCATATATTCCGGCTCCCGTGCCCTCATCAGTCTTAGAACCGTCAGTGTACCATACTAACGTGCCTTCCTGACAGTTAGTCAAGACCCTTTCATCCCAGTAGAGCTGAGTGTTGAAGGGTCTGTAATAGTTATTTCTAGGCAGCATTTTGTCCCTTCCCATATCCATTAGTGGGCTTGAAACTTGGCTGATTATTTTTGTATGTCCCAGGGAGTCACCCCGAGCATACCAGTTGCCGGTACACTCCAGTCTGTATGCCCCCATCCTCGCTTCCGCCCTGATGAAGATTTCAAGAGGTGGAATATTGAGTATGGTTTCCATAGCAGCGGTAGGAGTGCTGCGCATAGCACCTGTGATGCAGAGACAAGCTAATCTCTGGAGTTTTGAAAGCTCCATTATAGCTGATCTCTGTTCAGTCTTAGGCCACCAGACAAGCGATCCATACACAATCATTGGTCTCACCACAGCAGTATACAGCCAATGTACCATGCGTGGTTTCAGTCCCCATGTGTTACCAATCGCTCTCCGAGAAGCCATTAGTGCCATTTTGCCTTTGCTGACAGTTTTTCGCAGTTGAGTATTCCAGGTTAGCCTAGCATCTAGGGTTACTCCCAGATACTTAACCTCCTGTGTCATACTTAGCTGTGTGTCAAAAAGTCTGGGAACTTTTAGTTTGTCCAGTTTCTTCTTTTTCGTGAAGGCCACCCTCACCTTCGTTGTAAGACTAGTCTCTTTAACTAAAGCATGATGAGGAAGATAACAAGAAATAGCTTCAGATGAATCTTCATCATCGATTCTGGTCATATGCCCAAGTTTCGCATACACATTCATAAACTCTCTATAGTAATCTCGTAGTTTAGTATTTCTCTTACGAAATCTATCTAAGGCAATTTTTCGAGATTCGCCTAGTTGCAAAATAATTTCGTTCAAAGGGATGGTTACCATAAAACGGCCTTGATCGTTTCGTTCAAAATGTTTTGTGAAATAATCTTCATCGCTATCTGACAGTATTCGTTTGTTAATAGAGCAATTCTCTATCTCCCATTATTGTTCAACGTTTCTATAGGCAAAATTGTAACTTTGGCTTATTTTTATCTAATAGTATTTTCTCATCTCGCAATAAATCGTAATAAATACTTGAATCCAGTAAAACTTTAATATTACCATGTATATTGAATTCCAAAAGATGTATAAGTATAAACACAGTGTGGTACAAACCCTGATATGTATAATTTCAATGTTGGTATAGTGGTAAGTGCGTAGATAGGCAATTCATTTATTCGAAGCCGGACCTGTTCACATAAAATTCAGGGACTTCACAGCATTCCTCAGTGATGACGAGCGAGTCGTCATTGGCTTGTCATTAGCTCGACCAAACCCGAATCGCGCAAGTCTATGCGTGGTGGTTTGCGCACTGGTCTGGCAAAAATAAAACTTGTGGGCACCAACATCAAACGTTCCGATAGAAGTGTGATTACTGTTTTCCGTAAGGGTTTATAATGTGATATTGAACCCAGACCAGCCGCTTGGTAAGCTATGCTTCAAGGCTCCTAGGCTGATTTTATGCATCAATTTCACAATTTAGTTGGCAGGCAGTGTAGTTTCTTTGATGAATAGTTCACTTATTGCAGCAACAAAAAGAAATTTTATCTAGGAAATAACCAATGCCCGTATATTCTCACGTTGATTTCTCGGCTCATTGAACAGCAAACTGTAATTCAGAATTAGAGATTAAACCATCTACTTGGATCATCTAGATTCTAGATGGCATAGTTCTTACTCGCTTCAAGCTTGGCCCTCAAGTCCTTTCATATGTGATGATTATAATCTTTGGTTGTTTGTAATGAATTATTGCGGTCATGTATTCAAAACCTATCATGCATCTAACCATTATGAAGAAATAAGATTGTTAATATGGCTAGTCGAGAATGGATTTAAAAATTCTGCATACCTACATGGATCTACAAAATAACGGTGTGCACATTATTTCAATTACTACAAAGTTATTGCTGGTTAACTAGTATGAGTAATAATACTTTGATGATCAATAATGAAGAATATAAGCCTCAAAGGCTTTTCGCGGATAATCTGCACACAATTAATGTTCCCACAAGTCTTTCGTATTTATAATGAAGAAATATTATGGCCAGATCATCGGCAGTTTTCCGTCAATTGGATACGAAATTTTGTTTCAAAAACAATCACTTAATAACATAGCCCTACAAACAATTTCCTGCACTTACATTTTTCAACATAAATATGAACAAATACTACTGACTACCAGCATTAATGTACTGCACACTGGCAATATTGACTTTAATTCTTCTGCATTTCATTCTTTATTTATAATTTGTTATTTTTCCAATTGGATTCCATTATTATGCGCTTATTCCGAGAAAAAAAGTTATGGTCAATGAAAAATGATCACTGACATCAATATTATATTAAATAGTCCTCTTTTGCTTTACACAGGGTTTTTTATGTTCTGGTTCCCACGAAAAGGGATATCCTGTGTGTTATTGAAAGGTATTCACAAAAATCTACCACATGTTCCTCAGACTAAAACAATTTGATGGCTCTTTCGTGAGTAGTCGCTACAAAAAAAAAATAGCTGCCAGTACCTATTTTTTCCATCGTATACGTGAAAATGGTGAACATTCTGAAAAAATACCTATCATGAAATATTTGATAATCGTATTGAAAGTGTCCTATTGTTCTAAATTACTTTGATTAATATTTTGTGGAATCCAAAGGGTTACTTTTTCTAGAGTGTCTTATTTATAGTAAATGTGTTACGTATTTCATATTCCATGCTCATATCCTTTCTTTCCATTGGCGTAGATGTTTCAGATGTTCATCAACTGAATCAATCAAGTCATATATGCCCATAATAATGATTATGGATTTTTTGCCAAATACAACTATGCCAACATACAGCGTGTCTCATTTAAAACGGCCCCCCTCCCACTATATCTCAGCTATCAGTCGTGCGATCGTTACCAAATTTGTATCGGTATGAATAATCATCAATATGACCAGTTTTTCAAAGACAAACACCATTTTAGATAGTGCCGTGCAATATCAGGCATTGTTTCACAGGAAAACTGACCTCATAATATTGTTCTCCATGGTTTCAAATCCACATATATGTGGATTTATATAAAATGCCTATGAAGGGTTTCAGAAAAACAGGCACATCTCAACAGCATTTTTGCGAACTCGGAAACGATGAGTATAACATAAAAAAGTATAACTCGTTTTTCCTTCCAAAACATGATTTTCCACCTATCGGAGCCATTGAACGTTCCAAAATTCGTAGTTGATTTGAAGTCACTATTTATTCCAGACTGAAAATGAAAAAAATGAAACCAATCCGGTTAATTCGGAATTAAGTGATATTTTGCA